AACACGCGGTGCAGCCTCGGAGCCTGCCAGCTCCAAGCCCAGGTGAGGGCAAGGCTCTGGGCTGCGGCCTCAGAGAAGGAGGCTCCGAAAGCCCCGCTCAGGGGGCTGAGAGACGGAACAGACGCGGAAGCCGAAAGAAAAACCGTCGCAGCCCATCCCCAAAACGGCAGCCCAAAGGAAGCCTCGGGACAGAGGCGAAGGGACCCGGGCTCAGCTCCCGGGCCCAGGGCAGTGCCTCTGCCTCCCGCAGCCTCCCAGCGGCCACGTGCGATCAGACCTTGCTCTGCCCTGCCTGCTCCGTGGCCCTGTGCTGTGAGCGTGACTGGGGGGCTTTTCTTCCCCCTTCCCCTAAGTGCATTTTAATACCCTTATTCTACATCCTAATTTCTTTGAAAAAAACATCAGTGTCACTAAAAAAACGTCACTCTGTTTTGCAAAATCCAGCAGCTTCCTTGGCAGCCAGCTCGGCTGGCTGGCGTCACCCCCTCATTTGACAAAACTACTACTTCTGGGCATGTGCTCAAAAACAGGTAGGAAACAAATGCCGAGAAATAAGGAAGTAAAAACAGCCAACAGATTTTTCACTGGCACGAATGCCAAGCGTAAACATGATTTATTTAGCTGTGTTTAACGTGGCTGTCCTCCGCGCAACTTGAAGCCCACTGGGGCCCAAGGGGAGGGTGGGAGGGAGCCGGAGGACGTGGGGAGGAGGACTCGGGCCCGGTTCGGTTCGGAGCTCCAGGAGACCGAGAATCTTCGGCCCCAGAACGCACGCACGCACGCACGTGTCAGAGAAGGCAGCCCTAATCTGCTGGTTAATTAACGAGCTGCCGCGAACAAAAGATGCAACTCCAGCTCACACGCGCGCTGTTTACATGGGAGTCCTGAGACCTCGGAGCCCACTTCCCTACCTGTTTTTGCAAACCACGTGGGCCGGGAGGAGGGACGGAGGAGCAGCCGGCCGGTCGGCTGGGAGGTTCGCAGCTGCCACCGGGAGCCAGGGGGTAAATATCACCGGCTTCCCGGCCCACCCTAGCATGCCCACACGGAGTATACTCAGACCTGTATTCAATTAAGGAGCGCCAGACGGCTGCTGGCTCCAAGCCTTCGGCAACGCAGGCTCGGGGTATCTGCCATCCCTCAACCTCCTCACTCCAGCGCCCATGCCAGGGAACAAGGCCCCCCGTGGAGCAGGGAGAAGGCACACTCCCCTACCCCCGCCGCAGGTCTTGGCCCGGCCCTGGGAGGGGAGGCGGAGACAAACCCGAGGCATCAGGCCAGCGTCCATATTCTCTAAGTAGCAGAGACTTGGGGCCCTGTCAGAGGCGACCCCTATCACAAATCTAATGCAGGTCACCCAGCATTTGCCAGACAAAAGCTACCGAGCCTCCTGGAAGGAAAACAGCCCGCCGGCGGCCTGCCGATTCCCCGGCGCGGGTGCCGATCCTCGGCAGGCAGCTGTGCGCTCCGGGGACAGGACTGCCGGGCTTCGGGAAGCAAAAGGGAAGGGAGAATTTCCTCACCTGCACCAGCCACACCGTGCACACGCGCGTGAGGGCGGTCTGCGGTCCGAGACTACACGCCGGCGCTGCTGGGGCCAGGGTCCCAGGATCAGGAACACCCCTCTTACTGTGCGCCCAGGTCAAGGGCAAGGACACCACGGGGGATTCCGCGTCACGTGACCGTGTCCACCACTGACCCCCCCACGCTGTGGTACCGCCACCATGAATGGGCTCCACCGAGGAGGCTTTCCTGTTGGTGTTGGGTTTCCAAACTGAAAACCCAAGTCCTCCCCACTTAGCCTGCCCACCCCCCAGCCCCTAATTCTTCCTCCCTTGCATTAAAAAGGACATCCTATCCCAGCAGCCATTTGATCCCGGCCCTTCTGGGAGTCACTGCCCGCCCCGCCCCCACGCCACCCCCAGCAACTGTCTCCAGGTTCTGATGGCTGTGAAATCCCCCTGCCTTCCTGCCACTTCCTAGAAGAGGCCACCAGCGCACCCTGGGCTGCTTAGGCAGCACACACGGTCAAGGTCGGGCAGCGCGGTGGCCCCACGCTGCGATGGCCCTGGCCGCTCCAAGCAACAGCCGGTGTTCCCCAACCTTCCGACTGGGACCCAGGGGCTGCTCCCCCAGAGAATCCCGTAAGAAAGCCTGGACGGCTCAGAGCAAGGTTCCTGAAGCTCCTAAGCCCCTCCCCCACCCCCATTTCAAAGCACATCTCTCCCAGGCTGCTCCAGGCCTTGGCCCTGCCCAGGGGTCTCAGGGCTGAGGTCTCAGGCAGCCCACCATGCTGCCTCCCTCCAGGAGGGACCTGGAGAAGAGCCTTCCACCACTCTGCCCAGCCCAGCCCAGCCCAGCCCAGCCCACGGGATCCACGCCACCATCAGGTCGTCAAGATACAGAGAACACAGATGACCGCCCGCCGCCTCTCAGTGCAACAGCCAGCAAGTCCGCCAACCACAGGCACCTCGCCTTCAAGCAAAGCATGAGCAGTTATCCCGCACATGCACACGCGTGTGCGCACACACACACACACACACACCTTGTCTCCAAAAATCTCCACAATGTCATTTCTGGAAAGGAACCCTACAGACCCAGGGGGAGCTCCTGAGGCTCACACACACACACACACACTGTCTCTGCCAAGGACTCCAGGATCACACAGGAGAATCTGCCTCTCCGTCTTGGCCCAGACGAACGCCGCGGCGTGATCTTCACCCACACTCCCAGCCTCAGAGGCGGATTCCGTCCTGTTGGAACTGTTCTAAATGGACAGCGAGAAACCCAACAGCGAGTCCAGACAGATAGGAAACCCTCCCCGCCCAAGACCGGCAGTCGCTCTGAGTTCTCGAGTGTTGAACCGGTTACCTGTCCTTTAGGGCTTTCAGAAAACAAACTGACAAATACCTTCAGATCCCTCCACCAGAGAAGCTCAAAGTTCAGGTTCGCTCAACCTGAGATTTTTTTAACAACTCGCACTCAAAACGCCATGGAGGCATTGTTTGCACAGAACCTTAGAAGGAAGAGCACAGAATGTGCTGTTTTGGACCCAAATCACAAATATATATGTATACACAGATTTTTTAACTACCTTGCCTGTTGTTACAGCAAATCTATTCTGTGTGGTTCAGACTTATTTCCGAATAATGGCAAATGGAGCTGCGGCTCCCAGCCTGGCTGAGAAAAGCTGTCACCGCGAAGGCAAACTTTTTTTAAATCTTCCACAGGCAAGCAGCGCGTATTTGCGTTTCCGGAGGAACAGCTTTGGGAAAATGCTGCTTCCCTGAAGGACTCTGAGGTGGGTGCCCTGGGGGTGCAAGTCCTGCCTCCTGGGGTCCCTGGGACCCTTAAACAACCCAAGGCCAACTTAAAAGCAGGAAAAACAGGGAGGGTGCTAGCAAGGTGACCCCGTGCAGGCCAGTTCTCCCAGGGAGGACGGCCGCGCGTTCCTGGGATTCCTGGTGCTCTGTGTCCTGCTCTATGGAGGGTGCCATCCCCACACAGCCTGGCAAGCGCCGGCGTCCCCAGAGGGTTAAATCCCAGCCCCAGGGATGTCCCTCGGCAAAACCCGGCTCCTTCTCCCAAGGCGGGCTGAGCGCATGCCAGACACCCCCCTCCGGCCAGGCCTGTCTCCCCAGTGGCCACAGGACGTGCAAGGGGACTCAGCGCAGCACCCTCCTGCCCAGCGCCCAGGTCAGTGGGCGCCTCCAGGACAATGGCGGCGGCGGGGAGGACCCAGGACCCGGCACCTGCGCGGGGAGCAGAGCCGCCCCTGGCCTGAGGCCCCGGGCGGGGCTTTCCAGGGGTCCGGGAGTGCAACCCCGAAGCCAGGGAAGGTCCTTCAACAGCGTGCGCGCCCAGGCACCCGGCAGGGGGAGAGGAGCCGGCGGGGGAGGGGCGGCCCCGAGAGCACAAAGGGGCCCGGGGCGGGCTCCCCGCCCTTGACCTTGGGTCTCCGCCTCCATCCATCTCCGCGCTGCCAGGGAAGGGGGCTGGCCCCGGGCCAGGGGCGTGCTCGCCGGGATGCTGCCAGGCTGGGGGCCGCCAGGGGGCCGCCGGGGGAGCTGGGGGGAAGGGGTTCAGGAGAAAGACTCAAGGGCTGCACTCTGCTCCGGGAGACCTGCATTCCAACCCTGCGACGAGCCGGGTCCTCTGTGGCTCCGATTCGCTGCACGCCCCCGCCCCCAAAGCAAAAGTTGCGCGGAGGCAGCCCCCTCCCTCCCTCCCGCCCAACCCCGGCTGGCCCCTCGACTCACCCCCACCCCCGCCCCCGCCTTCCTCGGACCCGGGCCTAGGGGGAGGGGAGCTGTCAGAGGAGGAAGAAAGGGGCGCGCCGCGCGGCCGAGGCCAGACGCGGGCAGGGTCAGCTGCGCCTCCGCCCGCTCGGGCAGCTGGCCCATTAAGCCCTCGAATTATGCATGGGCCCGGAGCCCCCTCTGCCCTCCCGCCCCGGGGAGGCACAATCAGCGAGGCAGCGGCCGCTGGTCCCGGAGGGCAGGCAAAGAGGTGGCCGGTGGGCGTCGGGCTGCGCGCCCCGGACGCAGGCTGGAGGCCGCGGGCGCAGGCCAGGCTCTGAGAGGCGGTGGAGAAGCGCCGCGGGCCCCGAGCGGGCCCAGGCCCACGCAGGGTGGAAGCTCCCCTCGTCCAGCGCCGCGCCGGGGCCGGGGTCGGCGCCGCCAGCCTCCGGGAAGGCCATTGTGCGCCTGGGCTTGGCGGTGCGGGAGCACCTGGAGGTCCCCTGCCGGCGGGGCCAGAGGAGCTGAGGTCCCCTGCGAGGGGTGGAGGAGGGGTGAGAGGAGACCTCGGGCGGCAACGCTGCGGCCGCTGAGGCTTGGCACTGGTGGGAAGGCAGGGGCGCCCGGCTTTGTGCAGCCGGAGCACAGGCTGGGGCACAGAGATGCGGGCGCGTGGGCTACCGCCCCCCAGACATCGACCGGCCCCGGGGGGCGCATGGGCTACCGCCCCCCAGACATCGACCGGCCGGCGCGCTCCCCGCCACTCTCGAACCTCGCTGCCGCCCACCGTGCGCCCACAGCTGTCCCCGACCGACCACTTCATCCTCCGGGTCCCCTCGCCCCCCAGACAGAGGCCAGGTCGGGACAAGACCCTACTCCTTTGTACCCGTGGATACAGTCGCCGCCTGGGCAAGGCAAGTTCTACAAGCCGAGGACCCGAGGAAAACCCGCTGTCCAGGTGCCTTCCTTGGCCGGCTCTGGAAGGGGAGTGCGCCTGACAGGGCCCTGGAGAACTTGGCTTTGTGGGGTCTCGGCGCCCCCAGCGCTCCCAGCCCCGCTGCCCGTAGGTGGAGAGGTCCTGGAAGGGGGCTGCCTGGCTTTCTCTTTAAGGAGAATCCAGACTGAATGGTGCCACGGAGCCCCGGACAGGCAGTGTCTGGCCCCCAGCCCCAGGGAAGGACCCGGCCACATAAGGCAGGGCTTCTCCTCCGCTTCTGAGGATGCCTTTGGCACCTGAATTTAGGAGGGCATTGGGGCTTCCTGGACTGGATGTGGGGGAGGGTTTCCAGGCCGCAGGCGCTGTGCACTGCGGGGGGGGGGGGGTCCCTCCTGGGTGCACAGTGACCCACACCGTTTTCCCTGTTGTCCACACCAGGAACCCCAAGGCCCGGGGAAGCTGCCAGGCACTGCTCCTGGACCAAACATCTGCAGTGATCCAGTGTGGTCCTGGGCCAGGAGGGTCACCCTTGGGGAGGGGGCGAACGGACAGCTGCGGTCTGTGTGGCCAGCGCCAGCAGAGCCGCTGACTTTTCACCTGCCACGAGATGCCATGGTGCTGAGTGCCCAGGCTCCCAGCTCCAGCGCAGCAGGCGGCAGTGTCCCCAGGCAGTGGCTAGGTAAGGCGTAGTCCCACCCCACTCCTTCCAGCCCCCCCCCACCTCCACCCTGTGGGCTCCCAGCCCCTCTGCACAGGCTCCTCCTCCTGAGCCACTCCAGATGAAAGCCAGCAGCGGGGCCCCAAGGAAACCCACTTGAAAACAAAATGAAAGGAGGCCCGCGCAGCCGTGCAGGCTCCCCGCCCTGTGACAGGTGTGGGGCCAGGGCGGGGCCAGATCTTGTGGGGCCTTGGCAGGGTGGGGGGGGGACTCTTCACAAAATAATATTGACAATTACCAAACTGTCAGCTCCAACATTAGGGTTGGGCCCTGCAGAGACCCTGTGTCAACCCTGTCAACCTCTCAGAACCATCGCCCTCGGAGCACAAAGACCTCGGCTGACGTTTTAGTAGAACTGTTCAGAGAAAACTCACTTCCTAGGCCCAATGCACATGAAACCGTTGAGGAGCCGGCGCCGTGGTGCAGTAGGTTAACCCTCCACCTGCGGCACCAGCATCCCATATGGGCACCGGTTCTAGTCCCAGCTGCTCTTCTGACCCACCTCTCTGCTATGGCCTGGGAAAGCAGTAGAAGGTGGCCTAAGTGCTTAGGCCCCTGCACCTGCGTGGAAGACACGAAGAAGCTCCTGGCTCCTGGCTTCGGATTGGCTCAGCTCTGGCCGTTGCAGTCACTTGGGGAGTGAACCAGCGGATGGAAGACCTCTCTCTCTCTCCCACTGTCTGTAACTCTACCTCTCAAATAAATAAATAAAATCTTAAAAAAAAAAAATGAAAGAAACGGTTGAAACACCAGGGCTGCAGGGCGGGAAGCAGATTCAGACGGAGGCCGCCACGGCCTCCCACACCCCCACACCCGCTGCCTGGCTCTTGCAGCCCTTGGAAACCACCGGTGGCTCCCGACCACTCTTCAACTCAGGCCCAGAGATGGGAGGGCCCACTCGAGGCACACAGCAAGTCTGCCTCAGGCCAGAGTCCACAGCCCCTCCCCACCCCCACTGGCTAATCCTGCACCTGTGTCACCAGCATCTGACCGGGTCACTGGCCCACTAGCCCCAACGAGGTAGGGGGTGGGTGTGTCAGCTCGACAGGAGATGCACAGCCACAGGTGGCAGTCAATGCCCAATCCACAGGTGTGGCGAGAGGGTGAGGCCCTGTCCTGGTCCCCCCCAGCTCCCCCGTGGAGGTTCCTCCTCGGTGTGGACACCACTGATGGTCTGCCAACAACAGAAAGACCGTGCAGTCGGGGACAGGTGCTGGGTGTAGCCATGAAGACCCCTGCATCCCAAATGGGGGGAGCTGGGTTCAATCCCAGCTCTGGAGCCTGCTTCCAGCTTCCCACTGGCGTGCGCCCTGGGAGGCAGCAGGTGCTTGGGAGACTGGATAGAGCTCCGGCTCCAGCCCCTGCACGCCTCTGGGGAGTGAACCAGCAGGTGGGGGCTCTCTCTGTCTCTACTTCTCTAATAAATAAATAAAAATAAAAGGCCTCCCCATTCCCAGGGGGCCTGGGCTCCCACGGACTTGACCCAGTGCCTCCGTGGGAGGTCCAGGCACAGCCCAGCTGCCGACTCTCGAGGTGACTGTGCAAGGACCGAACCTGTGCGACTCAGCTGCACCCCCAACCCCAGATGAAACCAGCGCGTGGTGTCCCGGCCCCATGGAGTGGGGACGGTAGATGGAAACCTAGAGTGAACCGCGACCACGGCAGCCCTGGTCGGCAGGGTAAACGCCAGGACTGTCCAGGCTGAGACCCGAGGCCCCCGGCTCACCGCCGTGCGACCTCGGGCAAAGAACCAAACGCACTGTGCTTCAGGTTCCCACCTCACAGTCACCAGAGAACAGTGGCCGTCACGTATGTGAGGCCTCCTTAGCAGGGGTTACAGTCAAAGGCGGACCCAGGGCACGGGGGCGACGGCCAGGCTGCCCCACTCAGGTCGATGAGTGACCCAGAGCCCACTCGGAACAGATCCTGGAGCTGCTGGTTATGCATTAGTCAGGCATGAAAATTAGCAACAACAATAACAACAACAAAAAAAAACCTGTCAAAAGCCTAATAAAAAACTTAAGTCAACTGCTAACGATTTACTGTCAAATAAAAACCTAACGATGAGAATGCCCAAGTCTCCAACCTCTGGTCCGCATCGCCCCAGAAGCAGGGAAGCAACAAGGAAGGCCCCACCCCACCAAGGGAGAAGCGCCCCGTTTTGTTGACCAGTTTTTTTTTTTTGGTCTTGTTGTTCTTGTTAAACCCGATAACCACAGCTCAGCAAGGCATCACGGGGTGTAACCGCCGACACTGCTCCCGGTTCACACGGAGGCTCCGTCCCCAGCCTCCCCGGGAGGCCAGCAGGGCAGGAATACCTCGCTCACCGCCCTGGACCACAGAGGAGACGGGGACGCCCCAAGGTCACCAGTCCTGAGCTGCTCTGCCAGTGCTGGGTGACGCAGGCTCAGGCCCTGGGCAGCTGAGACCAGGAGGGGCTGGCAGCAAGAGTCTCCCAGCCTGGCCCAGAGGCCGGAACCTGCCTGTGGATCCCAGCAAGGCCTCCCAGTGCGTACAAACAGGTCACGAGCCTTAAGATCCAGTTAGGCCAGGGGGTTTCTGGAAGGTCAGAGAGAGGCATCATGAAATGGCGCACGCATTTCCAACGCGGCACCGAAATCAACGGGTCTTCTCTCCTTTTCTCCACGCTGTCAGGATCAATCCTACAAGCAGCCTAGAAGAGGAACGTTCTCTCGTCCTATAGGAAGCTGCGACTGAGGAGGCGACGGTCACACAGCAAAGTCTGTGGCAAAACCAACGTCCCACAAAATACAGCAAAGTGTCAGCATGCAAGGGGAGCCAAACAACGCAACAACAGATACGAAATACAGCAAAAAATCCGTACGTATACACCGGGCCAGGCCCATCTGAGTTCAAGTTCAACTGCACCTCCCCAAATCTCCACCAGTAGGAAAGTAGGGGAGGGTGCCACAGGTGGTGGGTCCAGCCCTCTGGGCCGTCCCCACAAAGGTCAGATCTAGGGGAGGCTTCAAAGACCACCTGGGTTGGGGTCCCACTAGTGCCTGCCCCCAGGACCCCCCACCAGCCAGGCAGAGTAAAGAGCACCTCTCCCTAGAAGCCACCAGAGGAAGCCAGGCAGACCCACGGCCAACTCTACTTTGCTGCGTGACCTTGGGCAAGTCCCTTAACCTCTCTGAGCCCAACGCAAAGTGAGCCGGAAATGCCCATTCCAAGGTTGAAGAGTGAAGTTGGCAGGACGAGCACCTTGCACGGTGAGCCGCTCTGGGTACTGGCTGGTTCCCCTGCACCCTCCAGCCGTGCCCAAGCTCTAGGGTCAGCCCTGTGCACACAGCCAGGCCCCCGGCCCAGCCCAGAACACCGCATCACGCCTCGATGCACACAGAACTAGTAATTAGCAGCCACGATTTAATAACAGCAAAAAAGATAATCCATGCCACAACGCACACGGATTTCACTAATCTTAATTTGGAGGGAAAAATCACAACTCTAAGAAGATCAGATGCAGGTTTTTTAAGACAACCTGTGAGGGGTTTATCTCCACTTTCCAGCATACAGCCAAGTCCTTTCGTTTCTCCCACTGGCCGAGCTACTATTTTTTTTTTTTTTTTGCATTTACTTTATTTTTAAAAAATCGGAAGCAAACATCATCAAAGCCTTAAACCCAGAGGCCTTCTCCCCAGCACGCTGTGCTTAGCGATGGTCACCAGGACCCCAAACAAAGCCCCCACCCACGCCGTGCGCCCTGGGACCCCAGGCTCATCCCTGGCCCTTCCTGGGACCCACACAAAGACGGATAAAGCAGGAGCTACATGGAAGCGCAGCCCGCCTGCCCCTCCCAACCGGGGGCATCTGCCACCTCCTGCCTCTGGCCGCCAGCCCTCTGCACCACTGCAGGAAACTGACATTCTGGGTTTGGGGGCGGGGACGAGGAGGCAAAGCGGTGAGTGACAGCTGACTGCTGACTGCACAGCTTCCTGCAGGGGTGCGAGGGTGACAACAGGAGAAACCGAACTGCCTGGACCCTGCGCCGCGCCACCCCAGCTGCCCAGTGGGCATTCGGAGGCAGGGTCTGGAGGGACGGCTGAGAAGTGGGTCTCGGGTGAGCGCTCACGGTTTTGACTACGGAGAGCTTGCTTTCTGGAAGCTTCCAGTCCAGGTCCTCTACCTCAGGCCTGACCCCGTGCTGGGGTGGGGGGGGTTTCCCTGCCCCATCCCGTCACGCTGAAGGGCAGGTGCAGACAAAGAAACTAAGGCCCAGAAGAGCCAAGTGACCGGGCAGCCAGCAGGGAGCGAGGGCACCAGGATGTTCCCCAGAGAGGCAAAACCCCCCACTCCCTTGACATCCAAGCTTCCAGGCCCTCCCCAGCAAAGAGAAGCCACCATGTGACGGCCATGTGACAAGGCAGGAGGGGACGTGACGCACGCCTGTCTCCTGACACTGCCCCAGAGTGGGGGACTCTGGGCTCCTCCCCAACCCTAGCAGGGAGCCCAAGTTCAGGAGACCAGTCTACTTCTCACTAAGGAAAACAAAGTGCCAGCAAGGAAAAGCTAACATCTCCAGCCCCACCCTGCCCCACCCTGCCCCACCCTGCCGGGCGCCCAAGTCATAAACATCCGACCGGCACTGGGCTCATGCACACAGGAGGGAACAGAGGCTTGGAAGGTCCAGCCACATGCCTGCGGCTGGCAGGGGGCTGCTCGTGGCCTTCAAACACCAAACACCCCGAAGTCCCCTAACGCTCTCCCAGGCAACGGCTCAGGGACACCTGCTCTCTGTGTCTCCCCTCCCTTCCCAGGGTCGGGTGGGCTCTTGTCTCTTTCTCAATGGGTGGGTCTTAGCCCATCACAGAGAATGCCATGGGAAGGGTCTTAAGAAACATGAAGAACTTGGTGCTGGTGTTGAGGCACAGCGGGTTAAGCAGCCACACCTATGACACCAGCATCCTACATGAGCGCCAATTTGAGTGCCAGCTGCTCCACTTCTGGTCCAGCTCCCTGCTAGTGCACTTGGGAAAGCAGTGGAAGATGCCCAAGTGCTTGGGCCCTGCACCCACGTGGGATAAAGCTCCTGGCTCCTGGCTTCAGCCCAGCCCTGGCTGTTGCAGCCATCTGGGAAGTGAACCAGCGGATGGAAGATTCTCTCTCTCCTTCTCTCTCCCCCCTCCCCAACTCTGCCTTTCAAATAAATAAATCTAACAGAAGGAAAGAATGAAGGAAATGAAAGGGAAGGAAAGGGAAGGGAAGGAGGAAATGTAGGGGCCGACGCTGTGGTGCAACAGGTAAAGCCGCCACCTGCGGTGCCAGCATCCCATATGGGTGCCAGTTCTAGTCCCGGCTACTACACTTCTGATCCAGCTCTCTGCTATAGCCTGGAAAACCAGTGGAGGATGGCCCAAGTCCTTTGGCCCCTGCACCCGCATGGGAGACCCGGAAGAAGCTCCTGGCTCCTGGCTTCAGATCGGCGCAGCTCCGGCTGTTATGGCCATCTGGGGAGTGAACCAGCAGATGGAAGACCTCTCTCTCTCTACCTCTGTGTAACTCTGACTTTCAAATAAATAAATAAATCTGAAAGCAAGCAAGAAAGCAAGCAAGAAAGAGAAAAGACTAGACAAGACAAGACCTCCTGTCCTGATAGAACGCAAGACCAAAGACCCTCCCTCTGCCCATCTGCACTCTGGTCCCCAACAAGCCAGAGACCATTC